ATAAAAGTGCATTTTTTTTGTTAGGAGAAATTAACTAAATCTTTATTTTTTGTTTTCTCGTATATATATTTCTATGAAGATTTAAGGTGTATTTGATTCCAAATTTTAAAAATCATTTTCAATTAGAGATCACATAAAATAATAGATTAAACAAGTATAACAAAAGACTAAATCCCGAAAACACTAGTACAAAAGGGGTCTTTAACGTCGGCTATTTTAAGGATTTTACGTCAGAAAAGACTCCGACGTTAATGCGGGAGACGTAAATTTACGTCGCTTGTGACAAACGACGTAAATTTACGTCGGACATGCCCTATGGCCGACGTAAAAAAGGGCTTGAAATGGTAAAAAATAGACTCGAGATTTTACGTCGGATTACACCATGTCCGACATAAATTTACGTCGACCAGTGCTAGTGACATGAAGAAAGTAAATGTTTTTACAATGACATGACACAATTAAGAGATATAATTGATTGCTAGTGTAAAAAAACTTTACACTGGCAGTGTATAGGTGATTAACTCTTAATAAAAAGGGTTTAAAATAACTAATGAGTCAAGTTTTATTCTTAGATACAAGTTTTATTAGATATTTTGTTCCAGTTCAAAATTACAAAAGATATTTTTCAATACCTAATAAATTAAATAACAAGCTATAGTCGATCACTCCATAACAAGCATTAAGATTAGAAATAAAATACTAACATTGAAATAAGACTTATATATATATGTGTGTGTGTGTGTGTATGTTTGTGTGGGTGTGTATATATATATATGTGTGTGTGTGTGTGTGTGTAATTAGTACAAATAACATGAGTTTAGTTAGTTACATTTAATCCTAACAAGAATGACATAGTTCCTCATTGTCACAAAGAATACAAAAAAGAAAATAAGATCAATGATGAAAGATGGAGAGCTAAGGAGAAGGTTGAAGGAGGTGAAGAAAGCCCTAGTAACACTCCAAAATCCTCCAAACTCGTCCAAAGTGATGAATGCTCCAAACCCCTAAAAGAGAGAGGGATAAAGTGTGTCAAAAAGTGTCATGTAATAAAAATGACGCATGATGTAAACTAACCTACACCAGGCACGAGCACACAAATGAAAAAGGAGGCCTCTCTGACAAGATGGCATTGAGTGTAGGCAAAGTGGCGTCCAACACTAACAAAACAGGTTTGTTTTGCCAAGATGACGTCGAGCGTGAGTAGAGTAGCACCCAATGCTGTGTAATCTTCAAAGAGGACTTCTTTTTTTCACTTCCATGTGTCCTCTCTTACTTGACGTGCTCCAAATTCACTTCCTAATTAAATGTTAGACAAAAAAGAAATCAGTGATATAATTAATTGGTAATAACCAAATTCTAATTAATTACAAAAAATAATTACCAAAAAAAAAGATTAAGTTAGATAAAAAACTAAAAAAAAAAAGTTAATTTTATTAATATAGAATGACGAATAATTATAAATAAAAATTGACATTATCACTTATATAAAAAGGTAGTTGCTAATTAGTAACCTATCATAGTTTCTATGATAAAAATATTAGCCATCTAGAAAGGTATATATGGACAATTGTAATCTTGAATTTTGTGACTAGCTTGTCATTGTATTTTCTATATATCTTTCTTCCAAATGACAATGAAAGTGTTAATAATAGTTAGGAGTATTCAATTAAGATCATTTTTGTGGAAGAGGTTATGAAGATAAGAAAAAGATAACTTGAGTTAGTCATCAAGATGTCAGCTATGCTAGCCGAGTGGTTTAATTTAAGCCTTCTAGGCAAACGGACCCAAAGTGAAGGCTTCTTATAATTGCTTCCAGCTATATACAACTATGTTATCTTATTTATCGACAAGAAATCTCCTATCATGTTGGGGGAAAAAAACTTGTTAATTTGGTATAATACCTTAAAATGCAGATATAGAGTTTGGGTTTGTGATGGACAATAATAAGTGGAATCCTTAAATTTTCTCTACATGGTGAAGGGACCTTATATGGGAGACATACAAACCCAATGCAAACAGGTTTCGAAAAAAGAATGGCTAGGAAAATACGTATATAGAATTAAGAGAGTATGAAATTTTGGCACGATATTTTAGATGGGTCCAAACAGTTTAGCCCACATGGGTGATTGGTGTCATAATGATTGGGTACGAAACAAAGATGAAGGAAGAGATTCCCAGGATAGGAGTACGTACGAGTTATTTGATGATTTGAAAAACTTATCAGCTTCAGTCTCCATTTGCAATGAAAATTCTGATGATTGATTGGTACGGTAATTGGACAACTCATGTGCTTAGTTATTATTTAAAGCTTTTTTTAATATAAGAAAAATTATAAAGATAATTATAATCAGAATAAAATTTAAATTTTCATGTTTTTAATTATTTTAATTTCTCTCCATTTAATTATTAGACTAATTTTAGTGATTATTTAAAAGTTTAATAGATATTTCTTGAATTTTTTTTAAAATTTTAATTAGCTCTTCAAATTTTAAAAAAAAATTGTAATGTAGTGTTTTTTTAATATTATTTTTTTTGCTGTTATAAGTATGATTAGAATTCATAAAAATTGAAAAAATATTTTTTTATATCTTCATAGTGAACAAATATTACATTAGATACCCGTTTTATGTCACAATCTGTATCTATCAGTTTTAAATCTAAACACCTTGAAATTCTCATATTTCTTTGATTACTAATTTTGAAAATTAAATTATAAAAATATTAAAGGATGGCAAAGAGATTTATAAAAAAAAATTAGTTAAGAAATAATATATTAAATTTTAAATAAATATTTATATAAAAAATGTTAGAAATATGCCTAAATATCTTTAAGAGAATAAATTAGTTTTTGATAAAAATATTTTTTATTAATTTATAAATCGTAAGGTTGTATGCGGTAACAACTCTCATAACTCCTCATAATTGTTGGGATACAAACAAGTTCCATCGATAAAATAAGAAGAAAATAAGAGTTTATAAAGTACACACATACTCTAATGTTAGAAAAACTTTTTGGATAATGACTAAAAGTAAAATTGTGAGAGTTTTAGTCTAAAACGGACAATATTTCATCATTGTGGAGTATGCTTGTGTAATAACCTCATAAAATATCCCCTTAAAGCCGCGCTAACAACCCTCATAACCCTCATAGGTTCCTTGTTTGAGGAGAAGATTATTGGGATACAATCCTACATCGATAAAATAAGTGAAAAAATAACAACTTATAAAGTACACACATATTCCAATGTAAGAGGGTTTAGATCCAAAGCGGACAATATCTCATTATTGTGGAGTATGTTTGTGTAATAACCTTATAAAAGAATCCTGATAAAATATCCTCTCAAACAAATACTATGAAATAAACCCAAAAAAAAACTTATAAAAAAAGAAAATAACAAATAAAATAATTTTTATAATTGTTGAAAATAACTTATACACATAGAGAAGTTAGATGAAAACCTTTTATAAAATTAAAGTACATAAATTAATTTTAATTTTTGAAAAGAGAATTAATTTTTTAAAATGTTTATGAAAAAGTTTATATAGTGCTTACTATTTGAGATAAGTTTGTCTTTCTATGCAAATTCAACCTAGTTTTCATGTTTAGTCCTTTGTTAGATTTTTAAGAATTGCTATGAATGTTTTGTTCCAATAAGTTGCTAATCTTTTAGTAACAATTTTCAATTGATTAATTGTGTACGATAATGATATGTAAAAAGTGTTGTTATAGAATATATGTAAATATAAATCTACTTAAAATATAATTATGCATAATTTTAATATTGATTTTAAATAATATTTAATAATATATATTATGTGTTATTATAATTTATATTTACACTTTTTAATAATATATTAATATATATTATACCTATAATATAAATAAAAATAATTTTTAATAATAAATATTATGTTATTATAAAATGTGGCTCGATAATTTTTATTTTATTTTTTTTAATTATAAACTTGTTGAATAGGAAGGTTACATCAAATTCGCTTGAGACTAGCCAGTATGTGTGAACTCTCAGAGGTAACCATCAAGAGGTTTCAGACCACCTTTTACTTCACCTAATTGTTACTTTACAAGGTTTGATCTTGTTTCTATAATTGTGTTGGATTCTTTGTTTTTTTTTTTTTTTTTTTTTCCATAGTAGTACTGAGCATTATTATATCCACATCGAGGTTGGCTGAGAGGAAAGAAGATTAAATACAATTTGTAGCCCCTCTGGCATTTGGTATTTTGGTTGTAAATATTTTATGCCTGGTTAAAAATAATATTTATTTAATAATGAGAAAATTACGTTTTTTTTTATGGACCTCATTATAACCCGATCTTGGTCTTAATTTATAGCTTAAAGTAGGTGGGATTGGTCATAATATTTTTAAATAATATATATATATATATATGATCTTAGATTTAAATTTTTGTATTATTAATTTTATTGAATAAAAGAAAAAAGACTTAGTTATTCACATAGCTTCACTATATTAGAATTAAAGTACTTGTTACACTTTTTTAATATTTTCTTTACTTATAATTAAAGGTTAAAATTAATTTGAGTATTATAGATGAAAAAAATGTAATTAAAGACGAATTCACTTAAGATGATCAATCAAGTATTTCAATAAAAAGTAATTATTAATAAAATTAATAAATATTTTATACTAATAATATAATTATTAAAAAATTATAATCTTCACGTGAGAGTAATCAAATCCTCTTTTTTTATATAATTTTTTCTTCTATTTATTAGGGCTGTATCTAATTTTAAACTTGAAATGTTGGTGCTCTTTATAATTAAAACATAATAAAAGTAAATAACTTCATTAAGATAGATAACCTTAAAGATTTCGCCACCAAGTGTTATGGCATAAGCGAAAATTTTTCTCCGAATGCAAGGAAAATCTTGGAGGCTAAATCAATTGATCGATTACATGCCCTAGTCTTTACAGGAATGGAATGTCATGTCGTCCAACAAATCGAATGGAAGAAACAAAAGGGAATTGAAATGAAGTTTTTATTGAACTGTTAATAGTAGAAAACATGAGGTAAATTGTAATATACATCAGATCATGATCAGGAAAATCATGAGTTTTGGAATAGTAAAATTGACTGAGCAAATCCTTGTTCTGCTTATTAAAGCTACTCTCCTTGCATTACAATGGATGAACAATTACTGAATACAAGCATAGAATATATAATTCAGTAATGCAAATACTACTAAAATTTTATTAAATTGAGAGCATTACATATTATATTAGAGTAATTAACAAAATTATCTTAGCCAGGTGTGCATGTAGGTCGCCTTGGAGGAAGCTGCTGATGTGGAGTTCTCTGTTTCAAAAAAAAAAAATAGAGGAAAAATGGTTAAAATTTAAAGCAAAATTAAAGATTCTTTTAAAACTCAATAGCTAGCACTAAAACTTCATGTACCTGTAGTTTTGGTTGCAGTGTCTCCACGGCTGTTGTAGATTGTTGATTCACTCCAGCACCTTGCTGTTGAGATTATATACCCAAAAAAATTATATTTATGAAAAATATTATTGAAACAGGTTTAATTGGTATACATTTCAGCATTCAATTTGATAATGGTTGTAGGACATCATCAGAAGTCATTTATGTGTTTTGACATATCAAATTCAAATATACCTTGCATAATGCCCAGTCAGCTGAATCAAAGAATGCCCTTTCATTATCCTTTTAGTCAAAAGAACAAGCATAAATAATTAAATTAAATTAGGTACAATTGGAACTTGTAAAGAAGAAGGTAAATTAATAATGGGTGATATATTGTATGAAGAAAAAAAAAATATTTTTCTATTATGGGCTTACTTTTGATATCAAAGGCTTCTTCTTTGGGGCAAGCCTACCGTACTTTCCCGCGGATGTTGTCTGATATTAAATAATTGTTAAACCAAACCAAAAGAAACAAAAAAGAATGGTATATTGTAAAATTAACGATTGTGGCTAAATAAAAAAACTAATTAAAAAATAGAACTGTAATAAGAAAAATCATGATATTGGTGCAAGAAAAAGTATTCATTATAAAACAGTCAATATTTCTCTAGTGGAAAATGATTTTACCCAAGACGTTATGCAATTGGATCCTTCATTAATTTGAATCCTAATTACATGTAAGAAAGTAATCCAACAAGTTCAAATTACATATTTGTCAACTAAGACTAGGTCTTAATTGTTATGTTTTTCTTTGCATAAAACCAGTCCTTAATATGCTTGAGCGACTTCATGAGATGCTTATGATAAAAGTATGCATTTGACTAATTCTATCTTTAACCTAATTATAACCTAATCCAATCCACCCTTTGATATCATCAACTTCAAAAGAGTGTGAAACATTCGCACAATTCAGAAAGAAAATCCTTTCACGTGGGTGGGGAAAGAGAATATTCTAGAAGACCTTAATTATGTTCATTTTTAAAAAAAAGGGGAAAAAACGAATCAATGATGGCCATGAGAACCTCATGTTTGGGAGAAAACGAAGTTCACATGATTTGCTTGACAGACCAAAAGCCAGTTAGGCTTGTTTTGTTTTTCATAGTGAGTTTTGTAAGATGTGTCGTGGGATCACTTTAGGTAGGGACACCTTAAGGCATAAAACCGAGTAACCGACAATTTTGGAGCACCCCTAAAATATCTTCAATTCAACTAAACATAATAAGATAAATTCCAATTAACAATTTAATTACGTGTATCTCATTGACGAGCAATTGTAAAAGTAAAATAAAAACACATCAAAATAAATAAAACAATTGTAACACTCTCATTTATCACCTATATAGTGTTCAAAAGAAACGAAAAAGGACAAAATAGTCTCTATTTCCCGGAATAATTTGTTTGATATGACTGTAACCTAATTAGACAATCAATAATCTCCAGAAATTAAAAAAATATATATATTAAAAAAAAAAACTTACGTACCCATAATCATATGATAAATGTCACAAAAGTACATGGTACAACAATGATGAAAAAAAAACAGTACACGGGTACAACGTAATGTACACCAAGGAAAATAGACATGTGCTGTTATGTCGATGTATTAGAAATAGGACAATTAGATTTTCCGTGTGATTCTCCTTTAATTTTTGATATCATTATTTTTACGTTAGGTAGTTATGTTACGAATTTGCAAATTAATGCCATACCACACACACACATAGGATTCACCTTGTTCGCCGTTTTGATTGCTAATTGTAATTTAACACTAGTTAGCTTTGCCGTCAAAGGAAACCTTCGTTTTCCTAATTCATCGTACCATGAAACGACGCAACTGTTTTCAAATTTCTGTGTCGTATATAATAATGTTGCGATATTACGAGGAAAATAAATTAAGGACCCAAAAAACGAGTCTAGTACTTGTTAGCCACTGAAAAGTAAAATAAAATAATAATAAAGGGTGAATTAATGGTTGGAGTTTGGTTACGTATACCTCAGCATTGGGGGCAGTGAAATAGTCTTCTTTTTCGCACCCTGCCATCTCCGTTGTTTACCTATTCAACAAAACCAAACAAATCAGAAACTAATATTCAAAGTTAGACTATTAGTATTATCAATCTAAGAAATGTAACCTTTAATTAATTTGCTTGAAAGGAGAAGAGGGGGCAAAAAAGAGCTTAGAAAGAAAGAACAAGGCACTCTCCCAAACAACACAAGGAAGAACTAGTTAGTTCCAATTCCAAGCAAATGGTGTAAGGGCATGCCCAATTATATGTCCAATGAAAAACACACAAAAAAAAAAGGGAAGAAAGAGATAAAAGAGATGATGTTGATAATTACCTTGTGGTAAGAGGAAGGTAGAGATGCAAGGAAGAGAAAGTAGAGAGAATGAGGGTAGAAGGAGTTTGAGTGAGAAGGTTAGATAAGAATATGAATCCACTACGCATGCCAAGAGATTACATTTATACCAAGAGAGGCTAAGAAATAAGGCACCAAAAGGAATAATGATAATAATAATTTAAATTTGGATCTTTATTGTCAAATATCCAGTCCCCAACACTTTCATTTACGTGGGTGTTTTCTAATGGCTAGTTAGCACAAATTTCATTTTCTTTTGGAATTTTTATTTTCTCAAGTGACTAAAGACAATTAACTGTGACCAAATTGAATTAAATTATTGTTCTCGTGGGATTAGTTTTAAAAATGAAATGGGGAAGAAGAGGGACTGAGATCTTTGTAGCCATTGGATGTTTTAGTTTAAGACGTTAGGCTTTCAACATCATTTGGTCCATCTCATTCCTCCAACGTACAATTTTCTCATGTGCAAGTAATCCACATTACCGACACTTTCCCGCCTATGAATTCATTTGTGTTATTATATCTATAAATTATTTCCCTTTTAAACTAAAAGTTATCTAATAGTGCAAAGTTAATTTGACTTGATAAATTAGCAGAGATGTAAAGTGAATTAATAATTCGGTACAAGTGCAACATAGGTTAATTTTCAACAAAATTTTTCATTCCAACTATTTTGTACTTTTATCAAACTATTTTTCTTTTTCTACAACATAAAATAGTTTCTTCAAGTATTAAGTATATATTTGATTAAGTTCAAATTTCATTTTTTTTAATACACTAAACTTAGAGAGTATTTAAAAAGAATCATATTTTTTTTCATTATTATTGTTCAGTATGAAGTTGAATGACAACTTTTTTTTCGTAAATAAAAAATTGAATATATAACAATTAAAGTATATATGAACGTGTAATCTTACTTTTAATTAAAAAGGTTTACAAAATATAAAATGAGTTGAGAGTGTTAATATGTATGAAAATAAAACAAGAAATATTTTCTATTTTTGTTTCTTCTAATATGAGAGTTTGAAATAAAATAAAATTGGACCCTTCTCAACCAGGGATCTTAGAAAACTGCATTTTTAAACTACCCTCAGGGTGGGCTTTGCTGACCACATTGGAGAAGATCCATGAGTAAAGAATAAGATCACACCGAGGGTACTTGTAAAAAGTTTAATGTTTAAGTCGGTTCAAATTCAAAAGAATGAGCAAAGATAAATATACTTGAAGAAGAACTTCTTGTGATGAGTTTAAATAGAAAGAGTG